TTTTGATAGGGTTAACCATGAACTCCTAATATATAAAGTAAATTATATGGGTTTCAACACAAACTTAGTCAAATGGATATCATCGTACTTAAAAGATAGATCACAACTAGTTTTGTTTGAAGGGTATCTATCCAAAACGATTAACGTTCCAACGGGTGTTCCGCAAGGAAGTCACCTTGGACCGGTCCTCTTTCTTTTATTTATCAACGATTTACCTAATTCCATAAATTACTCGAAATTGTTAATGTACGCAGATGATGTTAAATTATTCATTTCCCATAATTGTGATAAACGAGCCAGTTTACTTCAAAACGATTTAGATAGCCTTTTTAAATGGTGCAAGTTAAATTGTATGGAGTTAAATTTAAGCAAATGTAGGCATATGTGCTTCTCCAGATCTTCTTCTCTGATATTACAATATAATATTGACGGTCATTCATTATCAACTATAGATTCATTTGTCGATCTAGGCCTCTTGATGGATCCAAAATTAAATTTTAATAGCCATGTAATAACAATGGTAAATAAAGCAAATGGTGTTTTAGGTTTTGTTAAACGCCAAAGAATTTTCTGATCCATATATAACAAAACAGTTATTTACGTCTCTTGTTAGACCTATATTGGAATATGGTTCTGTTGTATGGGATCCTCAATATGCAATATAATCAGATAAAATAGAATCCGTGCAAAAACAATTTCTGCTATTTGCCTTACGAGGTTTACATTGGAATAGTGATTTTGTTTTGCCTTCTTATGCTGGCAGGCTAAAATTAATTAGATTGCCTACACTTAAAAGCAGACGTATTATGTTGAACTCCATGTTTGTACTAAAAATATTAAATGGTTATATACCTTCAGATTTCCTAATCTCATCTATTAGAATTAATGTTCCTTTTAGATCTAGTAGATACTACCAATTATTATATACTGATTTTCACCGCACGAATTATTCAATGGGTGAATCTCTTAATAAAATGTGTGTTGACTTTAATTCTGTGTATTGTAATGTAGATTTTTGTATGAGTTTAGAAGTTATTAAATCTAGAATAATTTTATTTTTAAACAATTAACATACATGTTTTATTATTTGACAAACTAGCTGATGAATTAGATTCTGTAGCTGGTTTTTAATTTCCTACTGAATTCCCATTATGATGCGGATCATGATGTGTACGCGATCCCTTCGTAAAGGGAGGTCGCCCCCTCGGTCGGCAGGGGTGGGAATGTGAGGCGTGGGAACGTTCGAAAAAAAAATCCACTCATGACATTCAGGAATTATCACTTCCCATATCTAGTGATCGTCCTGAGACTGTTACTGACAAAACTCAACCTGTCCAAAGATCATTATCTAATCTATGGCTCCCGCCATGAAAATGATATTTGCGACAAGGTTTGCACCCGAAACAACGGCCGATGACATAAGCTATTACATAAAATCAAAAATTGAGGGAGATTACTTTTTGAGATGTTATAAGCTCCGATCTGCAATTTTTGAAAGTAGATCTTCTTTCAAAATCGTTGTGCCTGAAAATTAAGTGCCATTCCAAAATTGTTCTAAAAATTAGTTACTGCAGTAATTTCACTGAAAATTCAATCTATATTGAGTCCAAATCAGCATGGTTTTCGTAGTGGTTTACTACAACAAATCTTATACAATTTCGTCAACAGTAATAAAAGGATCTATTCAGCGTAAACAAACTGAAATCATTTATACTGATTTTAATAAAGCTTTTGATAGGGTTAACCATGAACTCTTAACACAAAACTTAGTCAACTGGATATCATCTTACTTACAAGATAGATCACAACTAGTTTTGTTTGAAGGGTATCTATCCAAATCAATTAACGTTCCATCGGGTGTTCCGCAAGGAAGTCACCTTGGACCGACCCTCTTTCTTTTATTTATCAACGATTTACCTAATTCCCTAAATTACTCGAAATTGTTAATGTACGCAGATGATGTTAAATTATTCATTTCCCATAACTGAGATAAACAAGCTAGTTTACTTCAAAACGATTTGGATAGCCTTTTTCAATGGAGCAGGTTAAATTGTACGGATTTAAATTCAAGCAAATGTAAGCATATGTGCTTCTCCAGATCTTCTTCTCTGATATTTTTTTATCGAACGTTCCCACGCCTCACATTCCTACCCCTGCCGAGCGAGGGGGCGACCTCCCCTTACGAAGGGATCGCGTACACATCATGATCTGCATCACAATGGGAATATAGTAGGAAATTGAAAACCAGCTACAGAATCTAAATTCATCAGCTAGTTGTAATATAATATTGACGGTCATTCATTATCAACTGAATATTCATTTGGGGATAGAATCCGTGCAAAAACAATTTCTGCTATTTTTCTTACGAGGTTTACATTGGAATAGTAATTTTGTTTTGCCTTCTTATGCTAGCAGGCTATAATTAATTAGTTTGCCTACACTTAAAAGCAGACGTATTATGTCGAACTCCATGTTTGTACTAAAAATATTAAATGGTAATATCTTACTTTTAAACAATTAAAATGCATGTTTTATTATTTGACATACTAGATGATGAATTAGATTCTGTAGCTGGTTTTCAATTTCCTACTAATTCCCATTATGATGCGGACCATTATGTGTACGCGATCCCTGAGTAAAGGGAGGTCGCCCCCTCGGTCGGCAGGGGTGGGAATGTGAGGGGAGGGGAGTAGGATTCAAAATTATCAAACAAAACTCTTATGAGGTCTTGGTTCATTAACGAGTAAGAAACGAGTCAAATCCACTTGGAATTTGTCATAACGCAGACTAGCTATGGAACAGTGAAATTATAAGAAATTTTGCAGTTTGACATATGTAATGTACACTATCCATATCTGGCTATACATTATTGCAATGTAATGTGTTACAAATATCTCAGCCAGCATGTAAATAAATTTTTGATGAATCATCTATTGAAAATCTATAGTATAAGAGATGTTCTTGTAAACAAAAAAAAATTGTATGAATTTGAACATCTTCATGTGGACATATTTTCCGAGTATTATAACATTGCCATATAGGAAGATTTTAACTATAATTTGTTAAAAATTTCTAAGGCAATTCAAAAACAACACATTTTGATCTAGGCAGAAGATCGACTTCATTAATTGATTATATGTTGGTTAGTGAGTTTCCTTTATTAATTATTGCGATCAGGTACAATATACATGATCTAATATTTGCAACCCTTTGTTTCAAATTTGGCAGCAGTAATAACGCAAATTAGGAAAATGTATTATAATCCTAAATCACTTCGAATTAAACTCGTTATTAGCTGAGGCTGATGTGGATTTGAGATGTATCTTGGTCAGACGTTTGATTGACAATTTATTTTATTGTGTACCTATCATCATCGTGTGGAACGTTGGATTAAGGCAAAGGAGATAACACTGGCAAAGTCGCTTCGAGACTTAAGGTGAGAATACATAAAACGCTTTTCTGACTGGCTTAAGTCTTCGTCTGGCTTCTTTGGAAAAAGAACAATGGAGCCTAGGCCCGAAACAGAACTAGATCAACCTTAAACTCGTTTGTTTCTTTACGAAGAAGCCAGCCTATGACTTAAGCCATTCAAAAAAGCTTTTTATGTTCTTTCACCTTTAGTCATTCAGCGAAATAGGTGCAGCGTGTCATGTGCCCTGTGCCAGAAGCTGGGCAGATGTTCTGGGTTTGTCGGCACAGCTCTAAAACTGCGGTGGGAATTGGATGGCCTCCTAGAACAGTATTAATTCTAAATCCTTCCATGACTTCTGAGACCGCGTTAGACTGAGTACTATTCAGCCTGGCACAGGGAAAAATAATGTTGTTGTTGTTGTAGTACATGTGGATGTTTGTATGCTGCTAATCTGGTTAAAGCTTCGTGCCAGGGCTGCCATTTTTGCCGATTTATCGGCATTTTGACTATTTTTCACTCCAAAAATATAAAAACCCGATTTTGCCAATTTCATGTTCAAAAATGACGATATCTTAACGGTCGACACAAATTTTCTTCCATTAGAATTCAATACGTAATTAAAAGTTGCTTAATTCATTTTAGAACATCTAAATAAAATACATATGCCTTATTTTAAGTATATTCTCAATGTAAATAGTAAGACTATTTCAAAAAGAATCAACCTAAATTCGCAATATAAATAATCAAATTGATTTACTAGCGTTTTAAGCGATTCCCTAAAACTAATATATTTTGAGATTGTACGGTGGCACTCAACGTGTAAAAGACATCAAGGTCTCCTACAACCAATAGAAAACCTTAAGATCTCCTATTGCCCATAGACATCAGGCTGTTCTATAGCAATAGGAGACTTCGGGCTCTTCTATAGCCAATAGGGGACCTCAGGCTCTTCTATAGCTAATAGGAATCTCAGGCTCTTCTATTGTCAATAGAAAAAAAAGACCTCAAGGTCTCTTATAGTCAACAAAAGACCTCAAGGTCTCCTATAACCGATAGAACCTCAAGGTACCCGTAGATATATAGTAGGCAGCAGAAACTTCTATACTACATATTCTGTACTTAAAAGTTTACCAGACTTCACTTCAAAATTAGTGCGTGACTTTTTATATAGAACTTGCAACTCAAATATTGGAACTATTTGATTTTAATTTAAAATTGTTTTAGTGATTAAGACTTTTTGATACTGGAAGTGTAATAAGAAGAGAAATAATTCTTTTTGCTAGACATTTCTAAAAATGTGCACACTTTAATTTTAGAATCTGATGAACAATCTTCAGAATCCGAGCTTAGGGAGTTAACATTTTCAAGTTTTGAAATGAAACGTGGGGATTTTTTCTTTCGAACGTTCCCAACGCCACTCTTTCCCACCCCAACCCACCGTGGGGGCGACCTCCCCATTACGTAGGGATCGCGTACTCATCATGATCCGTACCATGGTGGAAAATTAGTAGGCATTGAAATACCAGCTACAGAAAATAGAAAAAAATCTATTGCTACTCATTTAGATACATAATTATTCTAGATTTTATTATGTCAATACTAGTACCGAAATCTATGACATCATACAAAGAATTGAAGTCTAGACACGTTCTACTTATAGGTTCACCCATAGAGTAATTAGTTCGGTGAAACTCAATATTTAAAAACTGACAATACCTACTTAATCTAAATGGGATATTAATTCTGAAAGAGGAAATAAGAGAGTCCGAAGGCACGTTACCATTTAAGATTCTATACGCCATTATGGTATTGAACATAATAGTCTACTTTTTAATGTAGGTAATCGAATTAATTTTAGTCTGCTAGTATAGGGCGGTAATGCAAAGCCCCTGTTCCAATGAAAATCCCTCAGCGCAAAAAGCAGAAATTGTTTTTGCACCGATTCAATTTTATAGGAGTAGATGGCATAATTAGGATCTCATACGACTGAAGCATATTCTAATATAGGCAGAACAAGTGATACAAACAATTGCTTGGTAACATACGGATCAAAATCCCAACCTCAGTACGGAGAGTCGGCTCAAGCACGGATGGGGGAGGCCTGGTCGTCAAAGTATCTATTGATACAGCTGGCCAGGACTACCTTCAGGCTCGTGCGGGAAAGCTGCACTTTGGCACAGGATGAATTCGATTCCGTCTAACGCCGATGTCGAAGTAAGAGGAAGAAAGCCGCAGCTGCTCAACGTTGTGCAGATTAATCTGCATCTGCAGGCTGCTGCAGCTGAACTTCTCTTGTCCCTCACCAAGTTTGAAGTCCAGGAACCTTATATAGTCAAAAATAGAGTGACTGAGCTAGGAGTGAGCGTTTCATAACCTATGCTACCTCCAATGGAGATAAGGTTAGAACGTGTATCGTCGCTAAAAAGAACTTAAATTTAATCTTCCTCAGCAATTTCAGCGGAGGAGACACCACGGCGGTTAGGATGGAAGCACGAGCCGGAAGGGTACTCTTTGTTGGCTCCATCTACCTACCCTTTGAGTACCCCGACCCGCCAAGCGAAGTAGTAGAGAGGCTGTTCACGGAGCTGGGAAGCAGAGGCAATCTCGTCGTTGGATGTGATGCTAAAGCTCACCATTTTCAATGGGGCAGTAAGGATACGAACGCAAGAGGTGAGTCCATTTTTTATTTTATTTTAACACATAATCTCAAAATATGTAACAGGGGAAATGAGGCAACTTTTCAAAAGATCTCACCCTTACTAACTTGGATGAGTCACTCATAGTGAGCTGGAAAGTATCCACCGATTGTTCCTTTTCGGATCGTCGGAAGAAACCATTCCAGGTATCGGTAGAGGGATTGCATCAAAAACCGCATAGGAACCCGAGAAAGACTTGATGGGATAAATTTGCGGAGCACACTGCATGGAAGCTGAGATCTACTGGTTTTCTCCCGGTAGACTACACCTCCCATGAGGACGAATTTGTTAACTAAAATCCTGATTGGGAACTATGAAAGAGCTTGTCCGCTTACCTTCCTGGAAAAAAGGTGCCAACCTGCCTGGTGGTCGAAAGACCTAGCCCAGCTCAGGACGATAAACAGACGCCTTTACAATAGGGCCAACATGACCAAACTGGGTACGGACTGGGAGGCTTACAAATCAGACTTCAACAAGTACAACGGTGAAATCAAGAAGGCCAAACGATTTTGGATTAGTTTTAAATTTTTTTTAATTTTATCAAGGTAGTTTTTATACAATCTACGAGACTCTATAGTGTACTTAGACCTTGAAATAGAGTAATTAGCGCAGTCAAATTCAGATACCGATTTTTTAAATTTACGGAAAAGCTTATTCTTCAAGTTCTTCAACCTCATCAACGCACATGTTATCCATGGTGACTTATTTGAACAACTTTTCTGAATTTTAGGGACACATTCTATTATATATTTATTTAACGTTTCATAAAATTTCTCGATGCTAAGTTCGTAATCAATACAATTTTTGGAAGTACATAGGGAGACCCAATCTACGGAAGACAGTAGTGAATTTAGTTGACCAAAATTCGTTTTTTATAGTATAGAAATGTTTTAGGGGGTCTAGAACCATAAGAATTTGTGCGATTCAATAAGCTGCTATAAGACATAGATATGCAGAAAGTAGGGTGATGATTATCTTCGGGAATCGATACTGGTGAGATTCTAAATAAATCGAAATATTGCGCAGTGTTAACATATGCAAGATCTAGTATTTTATTATAAGCATTAGTTATATTATTTAATTGATAAAGATTGAGATCGATTCGATATTATTTTATCAAAAATTTCAGGTGGAACAACAATTTTAAAAGATGATCTACTTTCTGAGAAAGACGAACGAAGTTTGTAACTTCTTAAAAAAAATTCATGATTTCTTAAAATATTCAGATTTAATATAATAATTAATGTCTTCAGTAGAAGTGTCTGGTGTAAACCTATAGACAAAAACCATTTTCATAGCTGGGGCCATCGACAATGGTTTATTGCCAGAATGCAATGTCTGTGCTGAAGTAGTTGCCGGTAAGGGTGTCCTTGTGGAAGTTTGTCTGGTTGCCTTTCTCCTAAGAGATGGAGTCCATGAACTAGCTTCGCTCGTACAATTGGAAGAAACTTTTAAAGTTTCCCCCTCCTTAGAGTTGGAGTAGATATACTCGCTGCAAAGGAAGGATTAGTAAGTCCTGCGACAACATCTGCTACGGCAGTTGGGATTGGCATACATACTTCGGACACAACAGCAGCATACGAATTCGTCCCACCAGTTTCTACATCGCAATTAGTAGAAACCGGTGTGGGTACGCTGACTGTAGCGTTTGGAGCATTTGAAGCCACTGGCTTAGCCGACGACTTCTTAGAATGCCGTTTACGCTTCGGTTCAGACACGAGTTGAGAAGACAGTAACTCATCCAGTATGGGAAATTTTTCAAAAATTGAATTAAAATGAGAAATTCTGAGATAAAAATGCCAGATATCTCTAACTATTTCAGAAGAAATATCCCTTGCGAAATTATAAAATTCTACACTTATATGACGACATTTTATACAACACCACCTTAGTCCGTTATATTCTAAATTGAGTGCATCAGCTATTTTTGCATCAATTCCTGCGCAAATAGCATGTGACCGTTTGAGGCACATTAAATTGTATTATCGGAGTCTGTGGGATTAGTACAATTATCATACGAGCAGAACATTTTAGATATGTTAAAATTTATAAAGCAGTAAAGAAACTAAAAATTATTAAACAGCAATAAAATATTTTATACTATAGACTTAATAATCAATGACGCGTAATTTTCATAAAATTGCACGATGGCAACTCTGTTTATGAAATACACAAAAGAACAAAACAAAAATGATAGAAAAACAGAAAAAACAAAAGCTAGTTCAAAATGGAATAGGGAAATGCTTCTTGTTAGACAAAAAAATATTTACAAGATTATTTTGTAAGTAACACAAAACACTTAAACATCAATAAGTACACCAATAAGTATATGTATACTTATGAAGAGATTAATTTATATTTAAGCACAATTATCTTAAAATAGCCACAAATTAAAATATTTTTTTTATTTAAGACTGAGCACAAATAAAATTATCAACTTTCACACAACAAGGTTGCCAACGGATCCCATTTTGGGATCCCATTTTCGTACAAAAGATAATGGCAAATTTGGAACGAATTTTTTGTTATGTAAACCTTAATAACGTTGAAATTAGAAACTTACTTGAGAATGATTAATTGAAAGGAATACTTTATTCTGGAATTAAATAACTCAAATTGTTTTAATACCAAATTTGACAATGAATTACTGAAAATGTGTAATGCAAGTTCAGTAGAAAAAAATAATGACGATTTTTAAAAATGCAAATGCCGATTATGCCGATTTTTTCTGAAAAATTAACGATTTTTGCTGTTGGCAGCCCTGATTCAGGTTTAAAAATTCAAGTACTTTAACGTGCTGAACCTAAATATCTTCTGGAATAAGTTGGGTAGGTTTGGGGTCACACACCGGGTAGATTCTAGTTAAATCGTAATAGTGGGCGTAAAAGTAGGAGTGGTCAATTTTTTTCCTTAAAAACCTAACTCGGGGTATGACGAACGTTTGTACAAAAAATAAGGCAAATCGGTCCTGCCGTTCTCAACTGATTCCATTACCAACGAACAACAATTGATTTTTATATATACAGGGTGACATGAAAAAACTGAAACTAACTTTAGGCTGCTTTCATTTCTAAGCCACTCCTCCAACAGTTGTTATAATTATTCCAGTGACAGCTCATTATATTGTTTACAAGCGTAAAAAAGCATTTTGTTGAGAATTTTCCAGAAAAAAGTTATTCATGATGGAATTCAAGGGTGATTTCATTATATATGGCTGGAGAATCACAAGTGGCTATCGGTAGAGCACTCCAGCATTTAAATGTGAATAAATCTTTTGTGTCTCGTAACATCGCTCGTAGCCCGAAGTCGAGAAAGTGGACGGAAGAAAACAGCAACATCAGCAGAAATGGTTCGGAAATGGCTCGCAATATTCCATTCCGCAAATATTGAAAAATGAGTTCGGGGTAAAGCTATTGAAATTCCAAAAAGTGCAATAACTTACATCGCAACAGAAAGAAAATCGACTCAAAAGAGCTAAAGGGTTGTTTCGCTTGGCCGAAAGTGGTGAACTGCCGAATTTGGTTTTCTCCGATGAGAAAACATTCGTTGTCCAGCAGTTTGTAAATAAAAAAATCGTGTTTACTTGCCAAAGAGGTGCACCTTCGGTTGGCCACCAGAGCTCAAGCGCCGGCCATGGTGATGGTGTGGGCCGCCAATAACAGACGATGGTCGCTCTCCGCTCGTATTAATCGACCGTGGCATCAGAATACATACGGAATATTATCGCGAAAATATTCTGGAGCGTGTATTAAAGCCTTGGGCACGCAAACATTTTGGCCGCAGATCTTGGAAATTCCAACATGACTCAGCACCATCGCACAATGGCCACCAAAATCTTCGGATACCAATCCGTTGGACTATTGTCTGGGGCATTTTGGAAAGCAAGGTTGGCACTAAAAAATACCAAAGTGTCGATCACCTCAAGCAAGCGCTTTGCCGGGAATGGGCCAAAATACCGCAGAACAATATTCGGGCAGCGTGTGACGGTTTAATTGGCCGTTTGAAGGCCATAATTCGTGCCAAAGGTGACCAATTCGAAGATATCTAAACTTATTCTAAAATGTTGCTTTTTCCGACATTTTTAAAATGAAATTTAAGAATTATGGCGTTTGACATTGTTGCAGTTTTTTTATCTCACCCTGTAAATATATATATTTGTTCGTGCTATCAACCCTGTATAACAATTTAGTTCGTGCTATTAACACTTAATCATGAAACATCGCTGGGAAAAATGTATTCAATCTCCATCCAAAATATTCATATTTCTCAAACGGTTATTATAATGTTTCTCACAATTGGTACATATTGATTTAAAGTGTTTAGACTCCCCCAAATCTAATTTAAATTTTAAAATATGTCCAACAATATCGATCCAATGTTTTAGATGCTCAGTAACAAGTGGCATCGATGAAAATAACAATCAGAAGAAAGTATATGGAGTTAATCTCACCAGTTTATCGTCAATTGTCCTTATTCTACTATGTGCCTAAGGACAGTCTATACTATGTACCTGAATAATGGAATTACGCTACATACATTTACTTTGAGATGTGCTCCACAAAGACAAACTCGTCATGTAAGTATTAGATTTAATGTACAACAACAATTATAATTCAAAGCTATGTTATATGTTCTTCGAAATGGATTTTGGGAATAGGAATTTTCTGTTGTGGAAATACATCCGCAAGACTGCGTCGTAAATAAAAACAATTTGAACTACTATTGCCGAGGAAATTTGTCTAATTTTGCTAAAATGTATTTTATACATTCAAAACCAGTAAGGAAAGTTAAAAAGTCGGGCGGGCCCGACTATATGATACCATACACCGCTATGCATATTTAGTAGAGCTTTCGTAAAAGAAACGTTTATATTGGGCATTTCTGAGCTCTATGAGATACCTGGTACAACATATGATTATGGTAGAGTGCATATTCCGAATGTTGGCGATTTAAACACCAAATCGGATGAAACATATATATGGGAGCAAATTTGAAATTCTTGCTTCTATGCTAAATTCGGTTGAAGTGCGAAAATCCATTTGGACTAATATTAGCCATTTGGTGCACAATAAACCTGAAATCGGATGAAGATATATATGGGAGCTATATCTAGGTTTTGGGCCGATTTTCTCCAATTACAATAGGGTTCGTCCTTGAGCTAAACAAATGTTATTTAGAAAATTTCACCTCAATCGAATAATAAATGCGACCTGCATTTTGTTTACAAAAATAAAATGTGATTCTAAGCTGATCACAAAAAGGAACTATGGGTCTATCTCATTTCCTTCTCCATGTTGCAAAAAATGCACAAAGACATAATACCCTTACCACTATGTGGTGTAGGGTATAAATAGAACACAGAATTATTTTCGCTCTTCTTGCTAAATTTATTTAGACTTTCAATTGAGTGGAATGTCTATTGTTATTCCTAGTAAGTAAACACGATCATTTTGCTTGTTTACAAACTGTTGGACAACGAATGTTTTCTCATTGGAGACAACCAAATTCGGCAGTTCACTACCTTCGCCCAAGCTAAACAACTTTTTAGCTCTTTTGACTCTATTTTCTGTCAGTTGCGGTGTAAGTTGCTGCACTTTTTAGAATTTCAATGGCTTTACCCCGAATTCATTTTCAATATTTGCCGAATGGAATCTTGCGAGCCATTTTTCGGTCACTGCGACGCGGGTTTCGATCAAGTCGCTTCTTTACTTTTCGAACCGTTTCTGCTGATGTTGCTGTTTTCTTCCGTCCGCTTTCTTGACGTCGGGCTACGCTACCAGTATCACGATAACGAGCGATGGTACAGACACAAAAGATTTATTCACATTTAAATGCTGAAATGCTCTAACGATAGCCACTTGTAGTTTTCCAGCCAAATATAGAGAAATCACACTATCACGCTTTCATTGGTCATTTCAATATAAATATAACATCCATAATTTGGTTCATACAATTTCAACATCCAATTATAAATCACTCAACAATGTGGTTTCGTTGCGCTAACAAAAAGTATGAAATATCATACACTCTTTACTTAATACTCAGACATAAAAATGTACCCGATAAGAAAAAGGTCGACATGTGTCATTATTAGTCATATAAAAGAATAAGTATAACAAAAAATATCCAAGAATTTTGTTCGTGCTATTAACACTTAATCGGGAAACAGCGCTGGGAAAAATGTATTCAATCCCCATCCAAAATATTCATATTTTGCAAACAGTTATTATAATGTTTCTCACAATTGGTACATATTGTTTTAAAGGCTTAGATTCTCCCAAATCTAATTTCAATTTTAAAATAGGTCCAACTATAGCGATCCAATGTTTTAGATGCTCAGTAACAAGTGGCATCGATGTATTACCTCCATGCTCCCATTTTGACGGATCTCACCAGTTTATCGTCGATTGTCCTTATTCTACTATGTGCCTAAGGACAGTCTATACTCTGTACCTGAATAATGGAATTACGCTACATACATTTACTTTGGGATGTGCTCCACAAAGACAAACTCGTCATGTAAGTATCAGATTCAATGTACAACAACTATAATTAAAAACTATGTTATAGGTTCTACGAAACGGATTTTGGGAAGAGGAATTTACTGTTGAGGAAATATATCCGCAAGACTGTGTCAAAAATAAAAACAATTTGAACTGCTATTGCCGAGGAAATTTGTGTAATTCTGCTAAAATGTATTTTATACATTCAAAAATAGAACACATAATTATTTTCGCTCTTCTTACTAAATTTATTTAGACTTTCAATTGAGTGAAATATCTATTGTTATTTCTAATTTTGAAATAAAGTATTATATAATTGACAAATCCCGTTTCATTTAGCCAATGAAACAGTTTGTTCATGGTACAATGAATACAAGTTAGGATAAGTTTTTACGAAACTGTGAAAAATAAAACCAGGCTATATATATACGTTTCGCGTTTTGTTTCTATATCATTTACAGTTTTGTCCAAAACTTAGTCAAGAATGGTCTTACAAAACAACAGCGCCTGAATATCATAGAATATACATATTCTACATACATCAAAATACATGATCTGTTAAGGAAGTTCTTCGCACGCTTTTTTCACATTTTAGGCACAATGTGAACTTCGATAAGATTGAAGTATTTATACGTGAGAAATGTCGGAAAGAGAAATAAAAAATCGGACTAAGCGCATGGACTATTTGAGGCGCAGTTGCAGTCAACATTTACATGAAATAATCTTCAACCATTTAATGGTTGGACCGAACTAATTTTGAACCGAACCGCTATTTCCGTAAATGAACAAAAACATTTCAATTAAAAAAATGGTTTGGTTCAACAAAATTAGGAATTTGTGTCGAAACGTTAAAAGCGCTTTATTATTTTGTATTAGTTTCTTATAACATACAGTAAAAATCATATAATGAAATATATATTTTGACAAGGAGTTTGTGTGCAAAACTGGATATGTATGCATTAATACATAACACTGAACCCAAGCCGACAAGTGGTTTGCAGACCTGAGTCGAAGAATGTATCAACTAACATGAGAGAACCAATATATACCAAAGAATAATATAAACGCCTGTGTAAAGTTTCAAATGTATACATTATATATGGCGACCGGTTCAGCTAGTAATGTATAAATATCCGATTTTAATATCCTAATCTGACTTTAAATATCAACGAAAATAACTTCAATGTAAAGATCAAATCCTGTATAGGGTAAGTGCGCCTAAGGTCGGCATGTCCCAGTAGTCGGCAGTTTTGAAATTTAAACTTAAATAACTAAGAATAGAATTGACCAAATAATGAAATAAATGCAAACAAACGTCAACAGTGTTCTCTGCTCTCTTTCTGTAAAAAAAAAACAATGAGCTCCGATCATTTATTACGAGAGAATAACGGTTTTCGTCAGTGAGTGTCTTCCAACGCATGCGATAGTGCTTGTTTGTAAAGAAAAAATTAGTGGTGGTGTCAACTAAATAATCGATTTAAGTAAATTAAATTTAAAACTTTTGGAATCAGAAATATTTTATTAAAGTAAATAACAGTCTAAAGATCATTTTATAACTTAAAAAATATACAAATCAAGCATTTTTCTGTTACATTATTTAATGCCGACATTAGGAACAGAAAAAAAGAGATTTGCCAGTAGTCGGCAGGGGGACCCGATTACTAGAAAAATATAATTTTTGACCCATTTCACCAAAACTTGAGAAAACTATTAAAAAATATCCAAAAACTACACAAATAAAAAAATATTTTTGTGTCGGCAGTTGTTTTTATTTGTGCTTTTTGACCAACTTTTCTAAATTAAGTAGGTTTTTTAAATCAGCTATTTGACGTTTTAGATAACGGTGGCATTTTTAAAGAAAGGTAAGAGATCAATTCACAAATTCCAAATATAAAAAAAACCTTTTTTCTTTTTTATTTAATCTCATTTTTATTTTAATTGAAAATCCATACGTTACTGAAGGTAACCATACTATTCTTGATTTTCTACCTGTATTTGGTTTAGAATGATTATTAAATAAAACACTATTTAAAAACGAAATTAATTAATTGAACTGTGAATTAGTAATATAGCATTGTTTTATACTATTAGAAATAAAAAAAAATACAAAATAATATTTTTTACTGAAATACTATATGCCGACTACTGGCAAATAGACATGCCGAGCATTGGAAAATGGTGCCGACTACTGGCAAAAAACTACTATTTTAGTAAAATAGCAAATTTTGCCAATTTAATAAAAACAAATTCAATTGTTGTTTATTATTTCGAAAACTAAACAAAATTTGGAATCTGAACATTTTTTTTCTGCAATTGAAAGATTTCACTCAGAATGTTGAAAGATTGAAACATTGGAAATTCTAAAAGTGCCGACTACTGGTACACTTACCCTATGCTTCTTTGCCGGGAAGTGACCGGGCTAGGTCGACTCAGCTCGTTAAACAGTTGTTTTTTTCCAGAACTGGTAGAATGTAAAAGTTTTTACTACAATAACCGATTTTCCCCTTAAGATATGGAGAAAAATTGCAAAACTAATAGATTCTTGTAGGTTCTGGAAAAGACCAAGTATGATTAGCATACAACAATCGGTGAATATCATATAATATATAACCGCATTTATTTACTCATTTCTATTTTAGGGACGGTTTATTAGTAAAACTAATGCTCTGTTTCAGATCTGCAATAGTGTAAAAATGTTTACTACGATAATCTACCTTTTTATTTATGATATCGAAAAAAAATTCCAAAACTAGTAGATTATTGCAGGTTCTGGAACAGAGTTTAATGGGTTGTGTCCAAGATATTTTGAAAAACTTGGTGAAATTATTTGTCTGAAAATATTAAATAATAATAAGTCTGATTTGACAGACTTACTTCTAGGTTGAATTCGGCCTTATGTTTTTGATGCACAATAAACGAGACGGACTAACAGAAATAAATCGACTGAGAATATAATTCTACTGTGGAGATATATAGTTTATATTCCGCATTTTACGAAATAATATTGATATGGGGAAATATTACGACTTTCAGTTCAACCTGGAAGTAAGTCTGATTTGACAGACTTACTTCTAGGTTGAATTCGGCCTTATGTTTTTTGATGCACAATAAAGGAGACGGACAAGCAGAAATAAATCGACTGAGAATATAATTCTACTGTGGAGATCTAACGAAATTATGGGTATATATTCCTTTTGCATGTTACGAACAAAGCGACAAAGACATAATACCATGCTTCACAGTGTTTTGAAGGGTATAAACACAAACCATAACGATTCACTCTAGTGGGAGTCCCATCTCTAATAAATGTGAAAATATTTCCAAGAGTGGCTACATGTTAAAATTTTAAACTTTTATAAATGGTATCCTACATAACTTAAATTTTACTAATCGAGGAGCCACTTTTTTATTTTCTTTAGATTAGAATCCATTATGTTACCTTACCTTGCCATCATTTTCTACAAGGCATAGGAATACAACATCTTCTCGCAATAGACGTATAGCAGCATGCAGGGGATATTTTGTTTTGCTCTTTAACATTTTAAAAAGTAAAGGTCCAGACATATGCTCAAAGTCTTGAGGAGTTAAATCTTCCCAATGTGTAGAAATTAGTCCAGAACAGTAATCAAGAAGACTGGCTGCACCAACCTCTTCTGCTACACAATAGAATCGTACACAGGAACGAACACCCACTGATGCCACCAAGGCTCTTTCGCACAATCCCAATAAACCAGGAAGACGAAAGCGGTGGGATGCTTTCAGAAGACCTAATGATAGACGGTCATGTTGTAGATCTACAACATCCGTATAAATCCATCGTAATAGCGCTATTGATATTTCCTCATCCATATCACTCCAATCTAATTGGTTGACGTCGGATAAGACATCTTCCCGCCATTCTTCGGACCTTGCATGAAGAACGAACTTATGGGCAGGCATAACTTTTGTATTCATTTTAATAGTTAAGTCCGAGTATACCGTTCGCCCATACAAGGAAGCAACTGTTAACACCAGCCGAGAAACAAAGCTACTAAATTCGCCAACCGATTCTGAGTCGGATGAGGCAACCGCTTTACTGTATTTCCTTTCTAAGTCCGCATATCCTTTTTGTAGTTTGGTGTATTCTTGTTTAAGCAGCGCTAAATGTTTCTCTAGTTTTTGTAACGTAGCAACATCCGGTGATCCACCTATTCGAAATGAGAAATTTGTATTGAATAATGCAACGCCCATATTTTTGGTATATTTTAGAAAATTCACACAAATGTCAGAAAAATTTAAATTTCATACTCATTGTGCTGCCGAAGCTTTTTCCAACTACAAATGAACAAATTTAGATGAAAATCAATTGAAATTTGAAAATAATTTCCTTTTTTAATCACGCAAAATACACGAAAACACAACTGGAGCTCATTTAAAAATGAGAAGTAGGGAGAAAAAAAAATCGACCAAGCAAAAATGCCTGATAAAATTTATAATCAAAACAAAAACCCGACAAGTACAGATAGCCTTTTAGAATGTAAAAATCTGCATAAAGGGTTCTAAAAACCTACTTCCACTGTGAAAACAGCTGTTGGTAAACTACGTTTCAAAACAAAAGTTGCAGCCATGGTAGATTATAGATAGATGCATTGTACCATAGTACAATGAATTCAAGGTAGGGCAGAACTACCATATGATTTAAATTTTTTTATTTTTCTGGCTTAATATGTCAACTTCATTTGCTTATGTATGTGTCTTCTTTTCAATAATAAAAAATTGTTCAGAAAATATTCAAATTCGGGTGTTTTCAAAATGCTTATTGCAACGAATGCATCGACAAAATCTACAGTTTTTGTAGCGAAATAAACCATAAGAGATATATAGAACATGATATTGAAAAGAAATTTTGACCATTCATTCTGTTTTCGCGGTTTTAAATTATTTATTCAAAATCAATTCAACAAGTTGTTTGCTTTTTTATTGTTTTGATAGTAATTCTGACATTACAATCCAAACAGGTAGACCTCTATACTTGCAATTTTTTCAAAGTTGACCTACCATGCATGGTACAATGAAGAGAAGGTAGGTCAACTTTGAAAAAATTGAAAGTATAGAGGTCTACCTGTTTGGCTTGTAATGTCAGAAATAGTATCAAAACAATAACAAAATCAAACAACTTGTTGCATTTATTTTGAATAAATAATTGAAAACCGCGAAAACTGAATGAAAGGTCAACACTTCTTTTCAAAACCAGGTTCTATATATCTCTTAAGGATTATTTCACTACAAAAACTCTAGATTTTGTCGATGCATACGATGAAATAAACATTTTGAAAACATCCGAATTTGAATGTTTTCTGAACAATTTTTTTATTATTGAAAAGAAAACACATACATAAACAAATAAAGATGACATATTAAGCCAAGAAAATAAAAAAATTGAAATCATATGGTATCATTGCCCTACCTTAATATCATTGTACCATGGATAGATGCATGGCGCAATTACAGAACAAAGTAGAACAAAGCTACCCCAAACACATTTTTTTTCTTTTATGATGAGCTATGTTTGTACCATGGCAGAAGAATACAGGTAGATGCATCAACGCTTAGGAGCATTGATATGTCAAAAAAATTGAAATGTTTTTTTAAAATATAAGTAGATTTTTATATGTTTTCTTATTCTAAGTCAAAAGGAGGCTATTATAATTCGCGTTTTTCAAAAATTTTTGCAAATTTAAATAATTTTTCATTCAACATTTTCATTCCCAAAATTGGTTTGACAGTTCATTGTCCCAGCAGCTGTGTCGATGCGTCTACCTATATTCTTTTACCATGGTTTGTACGATACCCAAAGTATTCATGTACCAATACTTAGTGTTTTTGGTTACTGGTTACCGTTTATGTATTCTTTGCTTGTTACTTTATGTCACTTATTTGTAGTAATTTTAAAAGTTACAGCTGGATGTTGTTTTTATTAAAGAATTTACACAATTCATTAAAATGATCGCTGGACAAAGTTTTAAGAAGTAAGTCTAAGAATATTGTATATATCTTGTAATTTTTCCTCTCATTGTTGTGTTTGGACATATAAAAATCTGGTTGTTGTCGGTGTTCGGTGTTCCTGTTGAAAAGTCTATTGCTTAGTTTTATGTTTCCAGGAGTCAGGTTTGTACCGGAAAACTGTGAAAAGTAGGTGCCTTTTGTAGTTGTTAAATTTTTATAATGCTCATTCCATTTTCTCCTTAGGTGCTGGTAGATTAAAAAGAAACCATCCTTAACGGAAAGTTCTGTATGTATGATGGCACCGACATGAGCGGCGTGCTTTGCAAAACATTTAGCCCGTTCCTTAGCGGGAATGCCTATGGGGAATGGGTCCAAATAAAGGTGAGTAGAGATATATCACTATTCTTCACTTTTCGCAGAATGTCGTTAGCCAGATGGTTTTGAACAGAATTGTATTATAGAATTTGGCACTCATTCTTTCTTTCTGTTAGAATGGTTTTTGGTATTTTAAAGAAAACGTTGTGGTCATCGGTAATGTCGGTCGTATGTATTATATTTTAGATTTAGCAGAGAGTAAATTATGAATTTCTGTAGCTTTTTGTTGAAGACTTTGATTTGCTGATTCAAAATCTTTGTGTGCAGATAATAAAATAAATTCGTCCGCAAATTGAAATAAATGTGTTGAGGATGAAAATTCCATATAAGCCGAGAATGCAAATGTTAAAGAGCATAGGACTTAAACAACTGTCTAAGGGAGGTCGATTGTAGATGTCTATAGAATCATTTCTCATTGCCAGTATTCGACGACTAAGAAATTTGATAAGGCGGAATTGATTTCATGCAGAATTTTTTGAATAATTTCTATGTTGACACAATTATAAGCCTTTTCAACATTTACTGATAGAATGATAATCTTTTCACGTTTGCTTTTATGATAATTAATAGTGTGTAGTATTTTTTTGATGCACATGGAAAAAGACATATGTTTTATATATGCATGTGTGGCAGTATATTGTTATCATCAACAGATTTTTGCATTCTTTTATTGTAAGATTAATAATTTAAAGGGAACTGAAATTGCTGAACATTTCCAGATATTTTCCTTTCTTTGATATTGGGACTATTTTACTTTTTCTCCCGTCGTCTCGGATTTCGCATTTTTTCCCTAACTGATTCATTGCTTCAAATAGGGTTACCTTTGCTGAATCTGAATTATATCGTAAGTAATACCATTAAAGCCGGCAGCGGAGCCTCAAGTGCTTGTTCCTTATCATACTTTACTACATTTCAAATAATTTCTTGCATTAGTATCATTATTGTGTATATCATACGTTTTTTGTGCGGCTAATTGAAGTTGGTATTGCCTCCTAACATAAGCATTCTACCAAATTTTTGGAGTTTTGTTTTTCTTAAAGGTATAAGTCGTAATTTTGGATTGAATTTCATTAAAATTTGGTTTTAAAGATAGTTTCCCTAAGTTATGAAACAGTTGTTTTTGCCAAAAATGTTTTCCCTTTGCTTTTGATGTTCTTACATTTTAGTAATATGGGAAGCTGGTGGCTTCCACCTGTAAACAATAATTAAAAGACACAAAGTCTTTACCATTTGAGCGTTTGTAAGACACTAAATATATTTATCAAAATATTTCTTAAGAACTACTTATGATAATATGACTTAACCTAAATCAGGGATGCTCAAAACTAAAAATGAATGTGTATTGGTGCGAGAGAGAGAGAACGTATACTCAAAGAAATTTCAGTTAGCATTCATGAGTTGTTAGCGCCAACTAATGCATAATGATATTATTTTTACAGTGTACTAGCATATTATAGGGGGAAATGTTTTGTATAAATACAAATATATAAATTTAATTTCAATTCAACCAAAAAACGTAAATAAAAAATTATATGTAAATAAACAATTCACTGTATGAAAATTGTTAAAATACGTCTCAATTCGTCATAACTTTTATGCATAAATGTTTTGCCACATAAAATGCATTGAATATTGCCAAAAGCATTTTTAACCATAAAATATGATTGTAGCATTCTGGCATGTAGTTAAGCTGAAATGAAAAATGTAAATGAAACAATTGTTTCGCTAAGTGCATCAACGGTAGCAATGCGTAGAGCGAAACGCGTCTTCATTCGTCGGTGTCTCATCGACGACTGATTCTTATTCTCATTGCGAGTTCGTGTTGGTTTACTTATACTTTTTCGTTCGAGGCTGCCCATAGCTGACCTAAATTATCATTAAGTGTAAATGACAGAAAAGGAGAGATAGATAACAACTGTACACATGCCTATACACCATAAACCATTTGTTTCTTCAAGCCAAGGACTTTCTCTTTGGTCTCCACATTAAGAGCCTGCGTGACTGTAAGGATGACCTTAACATCTTCCGAATACAGCCTCGCTGTCGCATTCAGTTGACTTGCTCTGGTAGCAGCGGCTAGTTTGGACTTCTTTAGAAGCATCTCTAAAAACCGCCTATGAACGCCTGGATAGCATATCACGTCTCTTGCCGCGTCCATAAGTTTTTCTTTGGCGAAGTCAAATACGCCTTCTATGGCTTCTTCCGTCTTTAATGTACTCAAGAAGAGTGGCAACCTCTTCCTTTGTTTTCATCATTGGCGGTCATTTTACCGATTCTTCCTCCTGGGTATATGCCTCACCCCTTTTGTCTTCAAATATGACTCGGTGTACACCGCCCCCACAGTCTTCTGTGCTGAAGTCTCTTTTTGACTCCGCATCCTTTTATTTGACTTGTAAATTTCCTCTGTATGAGATCAATTCCTGCTGTAGTTTTAGCTCGGTAATTTTTCCAAATTTAGCCTAGCTGACAGGACTTCCTCGACATTAAAATTCTTCAACATGTATGCGGAGATTTTTTTCTCCACTATCCTCTACCGATCCGGCTCGAAGGACCAATGTAAACCGGGATCAATAATTAAAAGACGCAAATTGTTTGCCGTTTGAGCGTTTGTAAGACATTAAATTTATTTATTAAAAATATTTCTTAAGAACTACTTATGATAACATGACTTTATCTAAATTATCATTGAGTGTAAATGACAGAGAGAGAGAGAGATAGATACCAACTGTACACATGCCTATGCACCATAAACCTTAGGGGGAGGTCATAAACACGCATAGCTATCTCACATGTGGCAAGCAAACATTCTGCACTTGCTTATCAGTCTGAGTAAATATTACATCCCCTAATCTAACTCCACCATAACACATGCAGCAATTGAAAATTCTATATTATTTATTTCTAACTCGAAGGTCTGCTCACCGCATTTTCTTTTTTTATTTAATGTGGACTGTATTAAGATCCCTGTTTAACAAATCCCTCTCATCTGCACTAGGTAGCCCCGCTATTCTTTTTTATTATAAAAACATGTTCACTTATCCGTGAACACACAAATCACAGAATTTTTTTTCCATTGTATGGGTAAATTAGAATTTGTAAAGGATAGGTCCAAACCGAATCCTCTTAAGTCAATAACAGCTTTTTTTAAAGGTATGGCTACCATCACTTAAACATCGAAATTTTGTAGCATCAAAATTTCATTTATAGTATTCCCACGTTGTGAAACAAATATATTACCATGGGCAGAAGTCTCGCATTAAAGTCACCACATATGAGTGTTTGGTTGATATTAACTAGAGGTATTAATGAACTGAAACTAAAGTTAAATTGTTAGTTTGACATATGAGTATGTTAAGAGGGGGTTCAAATGAGATCTTTTGGAAATTAATGTTTCTTTTAAAGAGTATGACTACGCCAACATACTTATCACTTGAAAGGTGATAAATTTTTACTTTTATTAATTTTAATTAATTAATTAAATATTTCACTAAGTAATCATATATCTATTTTAATGTTTGTTTTTTGTTAAACTTTGTACATTATATTGTAGTAGATTCATGTTTTGTATAAAAATGTTAATTTACAGGTTATGTATTTTTATGAGCATTGTGTTTTGGATTCTATAAATGGTTTTCTTGCTGCAAATGGGAGTAGATATTGCTGGAAGCTTTCTAACACGTTTAAACCTTCTGTACTATTGAGAGAGGTGAGTATTTTTGACATAGTTTTGAGTCCGTTGCAAAGTGGCCAATACTGTTACAAAGAATACAACGCGGCGAGCTGCATATGTCTAAAATTATCATTTTATTGCAATTTAGGCATTTTTGTTAACCTGCAATAAATGGCAATGTGTCCTTGACGTCCACAATTCAAACAGAGGCGTAAAGGAGGCACATACAGTTCTGGTATTATTTTTGTTCCACATATAACTATTTCAGTGGGTACGCCATCGTATATGTTTAATGGTTTCAGTGTATTCAAAAATATTTTTTTTGGTTTTCTTGAGAACCGATAAACTGAGACTACGTCCATATCGTTGTTGGCTTCAACTTGTTGTTTTATCGTAATAGCGGTAGTACGTTTTTGATGGTGTAGAAACGTTGCACGAACCCTTCCGGAATGAAGTCTTTGATTGAGACCTATTTGTTTTAAATTTGCATTTTGGGCTAAAAAGGTTTGCTGAGATTGCGTTATTAAAGGTAAACGTTAAGGTGTTGTAACCAATATTTTTGCAGGCTAATCTGTGATGTTTATTTTCTGAAATTTGGCATAGAGGTGTAGAACGCAATTTTTCTTTCTTGTACTAATAGGGGTTTCTGAAGAAACTAATACAAAGAAAGGGCCAGGATAATACGGTGTAATTGTATTCATCTGTGTTTTTACTAGTGCGTTTGTATTGGTGTTTGGAGTATTAACCGGCATTCCATTATTGATTTTTAATACTTTTGTTTCATTTGCAATTCTACTAGCTTTCCTTTTGTTTTGTTTCCGCAAAGGCGGAGGATATCCAAATCCTCTTCAGAAATGAAAAAATTCAAAAAAGGCACGTATGTTTGTGTTTATTTTTGCGAAAATTGTTTGTTCGTTTTTGGGATTTGTTGTTGTTTTTTAAATGTCGCGAAAAATTCTACAGTCAACAGAAGTTGATGAGCGACTATGAAACAAAGCCTACGGTTGCATATTTTAAATATTATTTGACACTATAAGACTCCTGCACAGAGTTGCATTTTTCTAGTTTCTTTGAAGTTGAGCAACCTTTCTTATTTAGCCATGGGTAGATGCACCAACGCTTGGGAACATTGATATGCAAAAATTTGAAGAATGTTTTTTTATACGACGACAATCCGATGTTTTTAAGATATGCATTTTTTAACATCTTTAACGAATTAAAATAAAATTCCTTTCAAATTTTGTTATGTACCGCCTGCAGTGGTGCTTAAGGTGGGGTTCCATCTAGCTCAGGAATGCAACTCTCAGGGGGTTCTCCACCCTTCCACCTTTAGGCCTAGGGTACTAACAATCAAAATGTAAAGGGGAAAAACACAAATAAAACAACACGATCACAAACACGACACGCACTCATGGCAAAAAGAGCTTGGTGGTTATGACTCCTCCACTCTGCCCACCCAACCTTGATCCTTTGCACCCATTCTCATTGGTTTCAAGGGCCCCTTTTTCCACAAGAAGTTAGAAAGAATTTAAGTTCAAGTTAGAAAGAATTTTAACATTCAAACATATACATTTATTAACATTACCTTTATCATGGTTTCTTAACGGATTATTAACACCAAACAACACGAGGAATGTGAGTCAATATTCTGGACGACAACAATTTTCACACTAGGTATTCGCCCAACTCGGGCTATTTTTACTCATCTAAGATATTCTGCCTAATGGAGCTCGATTAGGTAGTGTTAGACATTTATTTAACCTGTCTAAAAAAAACGTTTCGTCTAAACCTAGTTGAACGTGGAGGGCGTTCCTTCACTCACGTCGAACAAGTTTCGTGGTAATAATTTTCCTCACAATAATAATACTTAAATTTTACGTCGAATCAATTGAATAATTATTTAATTTTCTTTGTTAATTTATTTCAGGTCAAATTGGTTAGCGGTCACCTCACACCCGTTGATAAAGCGCTTCGGTGCCGGTTCCGAATAACCTGAGGTAACTATTTAAAAATTTTTTATCTTCGTTGCCTGCTTGGCCAGATACTTAATTAGCTTGTGGGAACTTATGTCGGCGGAAATTATATGGCCCTTTTCTGGCACAACGGACACTGTCGCATCAATCTGCTGGCAATAATAGGAATTTTAGATGTCGGCACAAATTTTTTATGACATATAGCCGGTTTAAATAAGGCGACCTTCCGCGTAAACTGTTGGAAGGCCTCGCAATGGCTTGCAATCTGATGGCATCTTAAATTGAAGGGACACAACACTTGTTACAAACGACATTAGACAACACTATAGCTTAAAATTACATCTTTGATTTTTATCCATCACACGCAGCCGTATATACCCGTCAATAAAACTTAATTTTGTATTGTTGTTATATGCCGACTTTTCTCAAATGGTCGATTTTGGCAAACGAAGTATGTTTTTTCTATAGCGCACCAATAAAATCTGATTTTCATTTGGTTTTGTAGGTGTGTGATCCGACTACCTGTATTCTTTTACCATGGTTACAGCGATACCTAACAGTGGAACCTAAAATTCGACGCCCTGAGTCGACGATTTTTACCGCATAATTTGAAAACATGTATTTATATGAGTGTTACCCAAATAAGTCGGGCGTATAAAAATTTCAAAGTTGAAAATGTTCAGCATTGAAAATTAAACGATTTATTATGGTATCATAGCCTTACCTTGATTTTATTTTACCATGGTAGATTCTAAGATATGGACTTGATGTATTTGGGTAAGACCATGGCACAATTACATAATGTAGAAAAAAGTTACTACCTAAATACATTTTTTCTTATATTTGAAAGAATCCATGGTAAAATTAAGAAGATAACGTCATTTCAAAAATACCCATTTCTGCATTTTCTGTAATTTACCTTGTCACATTTTACAATATAGAAACAGGTTCCCATCTCTGGTTTGTGTATATACAATGGATTTATAAATACAAATTGCCAAAATGTTGTCAAATGAATAATATTTGACAAAATTGTAATCATATGATTGCATGAATTTAAGATATGGCCTTGACGTATTTGGGTAATACCATGGCACAATTACAGAATGTAGAACAAAGCTACCCCCTAAATATATTTTTCCTTTAGGTGCCCCATATACACATTTTGTGCATTGTTTGTTACGTGCGCCAAGGAGGCGGCTTGGGGATGTTTCCCATTCGGACTCCGGCCAACCCAGCCTTATTCTCTAGGGTGTACTCCCAACCCGGATACCATCAGCCCCTGACACGCAACATAAAAACTAGGAAACCAAAATCAAAATGAAGCTAAAATAAAAGTGCAACAACATCAATGAAACCTAAACCCGATGGCTTTAAGTTCGAACACATTACTATGATCACTGCATTTCTATCATACTCCCAGTGACCCCTATGAACCGCCCACATCCATCACTTACCTCATCCTTTTAATCCTCCATATTTTGTTTAACATTTTATACTATACTATATAAGTCACATCATGTTTATTAAAAAAAAACTCCTAATTCTAACAAAAATCTTCAATATCGTCAAAGGTATTTATAAATTTTCTTAAAAATTTTATACAAAAAACAAAAAAAAACCAAAAAATTTTAAATAAGAAGAAACACAAAATAATAAAAAGTTGTTTTAAATTTAGTTTCTGTAAAGATTTTTTAACGCAAACGCACTTCCTGTTAGGAATGACTAAATCGAACGGTCTTAAGACCAACAGACAATATCTCTTTACTTTTTTGATGATTGAGTTCATCCACTGATAATAGTTGCAAAGCAAACAAATACAGAATTTAGACAAGATGAAAAAAATCTGTTTTAAATAACACTTCCCACTCTATTGTCCTCGTAAAAAGAGATCTTTTCTGGAAGTCTGTTAAGGGCGAATCAATTAAAATTAGCTTTGAAATTGCTGTGGAGAAAATCATGCAATCATAAAAAATCAATAAATATATACTTATAAATAAATGAACAAATAAAATGTCGTTAAATATAAATATTAATAAATAGTTAAATCAGGCAAAATTAATAAATAAAAAAAACATGTAAAATTAATATATAGTAATTAATATATAGCAAAATTAATATATGGATAAATCATGCAAATTAAAAATTTAAAAAAACCGTGAAAATCCGTTTCAATTTGATGTGGTCTCAGTTGATGTGATGTTTTGATTTAGCCTTGGAATTAGACTTATGTTGTTTCTCATTCCGTTAACAACATTCCAAAGCAATCACAGCGTTATTTTAAGGAACTTGGTGTTATTCTTGGGCTCCAGAATTTATATATATTTAAAAATATTCATTTTAGAATATTTTGACGTGCGCAAATGCGGCGAATTCGCCTGTTTTAATTGACTTTGTATCTCGGGCAAATTAATGTGTTGGTGCTGAAGTTGGAATGAGTGGATATCAGAGAGACAACAGGTACTGACCCATAGATGGCGGTCGGTCAGTTTTTTTTTTTATCTCAAATAAATGTTGGGAAAATTTAATTCCAACCTTTTCTAAAAATAAATCTTCATGGACTTGCTTCCCGTCCTTCCGGGTCGCAACTACATCCACTGATTGGGGATTGGGGACCGCTTCATTTTTTCACATGTGGAAGTCCGGTTATCTCCACCAAAAGTCCTGGCTGAGCATACCTAGGCATGACAATAGTGTCTTCCATTAACAAAAGACAAGACACACATCGGTGGCAAGGGACTGGGATAACCTTTGCCACCCAAAGCACAATAATTAGCAATGGGCATGGCTAACCATACCACCATCCTATAGTTACCCTCCTGAAGTGCCCCAAAAAACACAAACATTGTCTAATGATAAAATCCCCCCATATATGTGGGAGTTATGAAAAAATTTTGCGTGGATATTGAGACCGCCACGGGAGAAAAAGGTCTCAACTTGAGACCTTTCCACGCAAAATTTGTTTTTGTGTACAGGGCCGGATTTGGTCTTTAGACGGTCCCCGCAACAAAACCCCAACGCTGCGTGGTCCTCGACCTTGGTAGTTTCTGCAGCCAACGTGGGAAACTCTCACAGCCTGAGATAAAGCCGGACCATAACTTTAGGGAAGTATAAATATGCCATTTTTCGACGTAATTCAATTACATTTGTGAAATGTGTGTATCGTTTCAGGTGTATGGACGAACCAGCTTAGGGCTTCTGGGCAAGGATGGATCTACTGTGGTATCTCAAACTGTAAATCCTTATTTTAAAATACCTCCCAAATATTTAAATTGGGTATAGCCCATAATTAGTGGAGAGTGTAAAAATAAAGTCGGACAATTACGTTCATAAAAGATTCAGGTACCTCGTATATCACAGTCAGGAAATCGTTATATTGCACTACAACTTTAAGGTTTAAATACTGTTAGGACATCGCCAACATGAATGCTTAATCCTAATTTTATCGTTCTTTATATTGCATTTACGATTACGAGAATACCTTTTAAATTTTCTAGTTCATACATGTTCTCGCCTAAGGGTTTCACAATCCGACATCTAATAAACTTTTTGCAATATTTAGCGTTTAAATTCTTTGAGAAGTCAGACTGCACGATTTTTAGGCGATACCCTTCTTGCCCTGGTCTAATTTATACCACTCTTGTCCTCTTGTTATACTTCTCGGAACTGGTTAAATACTCTTTGTGTAAGTTTTCTTTTATTTTGTTGCGCAGAAGCTCGAGTTTCTCGGGCCTCTGCAACTCTTTAACCTCATGATCCGTCATCGACATGAGTTTTCGGACAAGCTCATAATTGGTTCCTCTCAAATACATGTGGAATCCGAAAAGGGCAAAGAATGGTGTGGTTCCAGTTGCAGAGTGCACCGAGTTACGTAGCGCACATTCGATAACGCGTTCGTATGCGTTTGACTGTGGGGAATAGAACGCGATTTTTATGTGCGTAATCTTGTAGCTTTCGATGTAAATTGAGCCCGTTATGACTGTGGATGACTTCAGGCACTCCGAATTTATGAAAAACTTCATCCACAAGGAACTTAATTACTTTGGCCGTAGTGACGTCTTTCATTGGCTTTAGAAAGGTGAATTTTGAGAAATGATCCACTACTATATATATGTGTTTCCCAATTTGGACCTAGGGTATTTCCCTAAAAAGTCGATGAACAACTTTTGAAACGGTCTTTCCGTTATAACTTCCTTTCCAATTTGAGGCATTGAATTTCGATTACAGGACTTTGATTCCTGAAATTTTTGACAATTACGAACATTTTGCCTTATTTGTGTGGTCATATTTGGCCAATATAATAATCTTTTGATCCCTTCAAGAGTCTTTTGTACCCCTCCGTGACATAAAGTAGTTGCGTCATGGTTTTTTTCTATCACCTTTTGTGTGATCCCACTTGAAAGCCATATTGTCCACCCCCGCCATCTACTTCCTGGTTAGAGAGATGTCTTTTAAAAACTATTTCGTTTTCTACCTTGAGATCAGGTAATTTTTCTGAATTGGCAGTAATGGTTTTTATCAAGTCCTTGTACTCATCACTCTTAAATTCTCCGATTCAAAATCGAAATATTCCACATGATCCATTTCTGTGCTTAATATCAAAATCGTAAGACTGTAATAAAAGTGACCAACGAGACAAGCGCCCACTTAAATGTTTCAACGACATAAGCCATTTTAGAGATGCGTGATCAGTGATAACCGTAAACGGCATCATTTCGACATAAGGTCTGAATCTTTTTATGGCCATTACTGCTGCTAAACATTCTTTCTCCGTGACCGTATAATTTCGTTGACAAGAATTCAACTTTTTGGAGTAAAACGCAATGGGATGCTCTCCTTGATTGTCACCCAATTGGTAAAGAACAATCCCTATACCATGCTTTGATGCATCGCGCTGGATATAAAAATGTCGTGAAAAATCGGTCTTCAGTTGGCCTTGTCCTACGATGAACCCTAAGTACTCAATTTCTTTGAAGTAAAATTGCGATTTTTTATTCCTATAGTGAGGTTTGCCCTCTTTAGGCATATTGCCACTTCATTGAGAAGACGCAAGTGCTCGTTGATGTAACTGGAGATCACCAACAGATCACCTAGATAAATGAAAACATGTTGTTTTAGTTGTTGAGGAATAACCTTATCCATTAGCCTGCATAATCGCTGCGCTGCGTTACAGAGGTCGAATGGCATAACCCTGAATTGGTATACGGGCCTTCCATACCATCTCTGTTTTGTTAATTTTCTAGCGTCCGGGCAAAACCTTTCTAACCACAGTGGTGCGATTGCTCCACGAGCTGTTGCTCTCTTCAATAATATTCAGCCGCTGCATCTTATCTATCTATGGCATAACCCTGAATTGGTATACGGGCCTTCCATACCATCTCTGTTTTGTTAATTTTCTAGCGTCCGGGCAAAACCTTTCTAACCACAGTGGTGCGATTGCTCCACGAGCTGTTGCTCTCTTCAATAATATTCAGCCGCTGCATCTTATCTATCTCTTCATACATAATTGCCTGGACGGCAGGGGATAACGGATAGTGACGATCTTTGGCGGGTTGTGCTCCCTCAATCAATTGGATCGTATGTCCAGATGTGTTTTACCGAGACCCTTTTCTTCAAACGTCGCAAAGTTCTTGATGAGATCGTCGAGTTGTTGTTGTTTGGTGGATAGTTCATGGGAATTCATTTTGTTCGCTTCGTCTTCGAGTATCTCTTTTGGTATGTTATCTATCTTTAGCTCATTAATTAATTTCGACCTCTGCATATAATATATGATCCACATGATCTATGTTTTTGACTGAATCTACAATTAAATTCATTTCCTTTCTCTTCTCTTTATTTTTTTTTTCATAATTTATGAATTTAAGATTCCTTAACATTAATGGGTTAATTGCATTTCGTAGTCGTAGTGCCAGGATTACCGCATTTATAAAAGAAGAGGGACCGGACTGTATCTGCACATTCCCTGATATTGGCTGTACAAGCTTTGCCCGAATCTGACCCATGATATGAAAATAGGTATTAATTGACTCATTGTGTTGTTGCTTTCGTTGTGCTAGTTCGGTTATGATTCCAAAGTTCGATTTTGAGGATTGATATTGGCTCAATAGACTATATTTCAATCCTTCACAGTCATGAAATCGATTGGTCTTTTGGAAAAGCCAATACCAAGATTCCGCTCTACCAGTGAGTAGCAATGGGAAATCTCGGATTATCTCAGACCATGGTATGTTATAGTGCAATTGAAAATACTCCAATCAATACACAAATTCTTCAACACCCAATCCCGAGGAACTACCATCAAATTGCAATCCTAATTTTTTTTATCCCAAATCCGTACCTAGGGTCAAATGTTCCTACTGGAGACATGTTGCCTACAGGGCCTTTAGCGACATGCGTCCCATTATGACAAGGCATATTTGCCATTGGCTGGGTTGTCCTTGGCTCAGTCAGATTTGGGTTTGTTTTATTTATATGAAACACGGTGGGGTTACTCTGATTCGGAATTGGAAGCATCCTTGAGATAGAGGAAGTCATCGGTGGAAGGATATTCATAGCCCTAGCAGAACCTGGCTGTCGATTTCCCGAGAGTTCAGTGTTGATTCAGACTCATTTGTTTTCCCGGTGTTTAATTCTATTAAAGATTTCTTTATTTAACTCATTTCCTTCTGAAGATTTTGTATTTCGTTTTCTATTAGACGATGTCCTAAGACATTATCCCGGAATGAGAATCCTGATGCATCCTGAATTTGACGCGACTATCCCGATCCACCTTGAAGGAAAACGGGCCCTATGGAATTAGACACCGGTGAACTCACATTTATGGTCTGGGAAAGGTCCCGAATTATCCTATCTCCACTGGGATTAGCTTCGGCCATGTCGGGGTCAGTACTGTTGTCCTTTTTCTTCTTATTTTCGATTATGATCGACCGATTCGAATCAAAAGTTGTAGGCCGATTCTTTGCTCTTGCACGAGTTTCACAGCTCATACCACTCAAACACCATCAAATTTCCTCTTTAGACTATTTAACAAGTTTTCACACAAAGTATTACTATAAAGTTTAGGAAATTGATTGTAAATTCAGTTATTTATTTTCTATTTAATTTTTTTCAGGAGGATTAAAAGTCGAGGCGGTTTTAAAGCCCTCAAAATGGTTTTCAATGATGTTGATGCTAACAATTGATACGTAGATACTACTACAACCTTTTTTGTGACTGGATATGCTCTACCAACGGCAGTATCCCTCAATCCCACTGTAATAGATACATCAACCTTAGATACGTTATGCTTATATCTGTATATGTATGTAGAATTGAATCACTACAACAAGTACTAAGCTGATACTATATTTTTTAAATCATCATACGTTTTGCTACTACCTCGTGTAAACCTATAACACTGTAGGACAAATAATATGATGGGTTGTACTCGTCATGACCTTCCTTAACCTAATGCATCGTTGGAAAAAAATTGAATAAAAATAAATACAAAATAATAAAAAGTTGTTTTGAAATTAGTTTCTGTTAAGATTTTTTTAACGCAAACGTACTTCCTGTATGGAATGACTGAATCGAACGGTCTTAAGACCACCAGACAATATATCATTACTTTGAGTTCATCCACTGATAATAGTTGTAGAACTTCAATTGCAAAGCAAACAAACACAGAATTTAGACAAGATGAAAAAAATATGTTTTAAATAACACTTCCCACTCTAATGTCGTCGTAAAAAGAGATCTTTTCTGGAAGGCTGTTATGGGCGAATCAATTAAAATTAGTTTTGAAATTGCTGTGGAGAATATTATACAATCATAAAAAAGTCAATAAATATATATTTATAACTAAAAGAACAAATACAATGTTGTTAAATATAAATATTAATAACTATTTATCAAAATCAAGCAAAATTAATAAATAATAAAATCATGTAAAATTAATATATAGTAATGTCATGCAAAATTAATATAATATAAACCGTGAAAATCAGTTTCAATTTGATGTGGTCTCAGGTGATGTTTTGGAATAGACTTATGTTGTTTCTCATTCCGTTATCAACATTCCAAAGCAATCACAGCGTTATTGTAAGGATCTTGGTATAATTCTTGGGCTCTAGAATTTATATATATTTTCGTCGTTTTTATAATATTTTGACGAGCGCAAATGTGGCAAATTCGCCTGTTTTAATTGACTTTTTGTCTCGGTCAAGTTAATATGTTGGTGTTGAAGTTGGAATGAGTGGAGACTAGAGAGATAACAGGTACTGACCCATAGATGGCGGTCGGTCAGTTTTTTTTATCTCAAATAAATGTTGGGAAAATTTATTTCCTACCTTTTTTAAAAATAGCGACAAGCATGGGATAAATGTGGTTGATGTCCTTCCTCCTAGATGCCGCTGTTGTCCTCCGTTTTGGTCTCAGCTTAAGGCCTTTCCACGCATTTTTTTGTTTACAGGGCCGGACATGGCCTTGCAACATGTTTTGATTAAAAAGAAAAATAATTTGAAATTATTTCAAATTTAGGGACAATAAAAAATGCATATTTTTAATGCTAGCACGTAACAAATTGTATTAATGTGGAATAAAACAATCTTGTCCTACTATCTTGGATTCAATTTTGTTGAGAAATCCCAATATTCCCTTAAAGTTTTGTGGTTTTCCGCAATATAATATTTTTGTGAAAAAATTATTGATTAACAAAACCAATTGTTCATGTTTAAAAAGTCTATTTGTCATAATAAGTCTATATTACAGAGATACATTTTTCCAGTTTTCTTGAAGTTGTGCAACCTTTCTTATTGAGCCATGGGCAACACATTGTAAAATTTTGGCATAAAACTGTATTGCTCTATTAGATTCAATCTTGGAATAACCCCAAAATTCCATTCTTGTTTCGCGGATTTTCCCCAATATAAGAATTTTGTTAAAAAAATAAACATTAACAAAATCAACTGTTGCATATATAAAAGTCTATTTGACACTAAAGGATTCCAGCACAGAGTTGAACTTTCTTAGATTCTTCGAAGTTGACCAACATTTCTTAAGGTACGGTCACACTGGGCAAATATTTGATCGAAATTTTTTTTCCCATATTTGACTGAACTAATGTGAAATTCATACAGAGTTGATTCGATGTTCACATTACAGTCAAATATTTGACAGATTTTGTTTGTTCAAGCAGTCACCAAACAGCGTCAAACAGTGCTATGGGAAAACATGTTTGACACATGTTCACATTCGTAAAATATATTTTCCCATTAAATTGTTTGATCAAACTGTGAGGAAACATAAGTTTATTTGGCCGAGAAAAATAGACAGAGAGAGTGAAAGAGAGACATAAAGAAAATATAGTTTCGGGTATAATATATTTGGAGAAGGGAAGCAAAAGACCAGCTGTTGTGAAATAAATTCCTTGTCAGAACAATTTTTTTTTGCATTTTTGTTTGTATCATGGTAGAAGAATACAGGTAGTCACATCGACATAGCTGCTGGGACAATGAACTGTCAAAACAATTTTGGAATTGAAAATAATGAATAAAATATTATTTAAATTTGTAAAAATTGTTGAAAAATATATATCATTGCAACCTCCGATTTTTCGCCGTATAGGAAAATAAATCTACTTATTTTTATAAAAACATTTCAAAATTTTTGACATATCATTGTTTCAAGCGTTGATGCATCCACCTATATCCTGTTCGAGAACCTGCAAGAATCTACTAGTTTCGCAATTTTCTTCGATATAATAAAGGGAAAATCGGTTATCGTAGTAAAAACACTTACATTCTCGCAGTTCTGGAACAGACCAAATATAAACATTTTTACTAAACATTCAAATTCAGTTAATTCAAAAATATCAAATAAACAAAGCCACTTATTGTATTCCTTTGTTTTTCTATTCATTAAACATCATGCTACAAATGCTCCTGTTCTTAAAGCAAAATGTTGCCCAATGTTTTAAACTGATATTTTCCCTTGTTTATCCTTACAAAACATTTGCACCGTCAAATAAATGTTTGACCAAAAAATAGGAAAATAATTGATCATATATGTTCACATTATGGACACATTGGTCAAATGTTTGTTTTCCAGCAAATAATTTTGTTTTCCCAAAATCAGCTGTTTTTGTATTTACCGTCAAATAATATTTGGTGGTCAGATTGTGACAAAGAAATATTTCACATTTTTCGTCAAATATTTGCCCAATGTGACCTTACCTTTAGTGTAGAAATACATAAAGCGCATATTTTGCCTTATTTGTGTGGTCATATTTGGCCAATATAATAATCTTTTGATCCCTTCAAGAGTCTTTTGTACCCCTCCGTGACATAAAGTAGTTGCGTCATGATTTTTTTCTATCACCTTTTGTGTGATCCCACTTGAAAGCCATATTGTCCACCCCCGCCATCTACTTCCTGGTTAGAGAGATGTCTTTTAAAAACTATTTCGTTTTCTACCTTGAGATCAGGTAATTTTTCTGAATTGGCAGTAATGGCTTTTATCAAGTCCCTGTACTCATCACTCTTAAATTCTCCGATTCAAAATCGAAATATTCCACATGATCCATTTCTGTGCTTAATATCAAAATCGTAAGACTGTAATAAAGGTGACCAACGAGACAAGCGCCCACTTAAATGTTTCAACGACATAAGCCATTTTAGAGATGCGTGATCAGTGATAACCGTAAACGGCATCATTTCGACATAAGGTCTGAATCTTTTTATGGCCATTACTGCTGCTAAACATTCTTTCTCCGTGACCGTATAATTTCGTTGACAAGAATTCAACTTTTTGGAGTAAAACGCAATGGGATGCTCTCCTTGATTGTCATCCAATTGGTAAAGAACAATCCCTATACCATGCTTTGATGCATCGCGCTGGATATAAAAATGTCGTGAAAAATCGGTCTTCAGTTGGCCTTGTCCTACGATGAACCCTAAGTACTCAATTTCTTTGAAGTAAAATTGCGATTTTTTATTCCTATAGTGAGGTTTGCCCTCTTTAGGCATATTGCCACTTCATTGAGAAGACGCAAGTGCTCGTTGATGTAACTGGAGATCACCAACAGATCACCTAGATAAATGAAAACATGTTGTTTTAGTTGTTGAGGAATAACCTTATCCATTAGCCTGCATAATCGCTGCGCTGCGTTACAGAGGTCGAATGGCATAACCCTGAATTGGTATACGGGCCTTCCATACCATCTCTGTTTTGTTAATTTTCTAGCGTCCGGGCAAAACCTTTCTAACCACAGTGGTGCGATTGCTCCACGAGCTGTTGCTCTCTTCAATAATATTCAGCCGCTGCATCTTATCTATCTCTTCATACATAATTGCCTGGACGGCAGGGGATAACGGATAGTGACGATCTTTGGCGGGTTGTGCTCCCTCAATCAATTGGATCGTATGTCCAGGTGTGTTTTACCGAGACCCTTTTCTTCAAACGTCGCAAAGTTCTTGATGAGATCGTCGAGTTGTTGTTGTTTGGTGGATAGTTCATGGGAATTCATTTTGTTCGCTTCGTCTTCGAGTATCTCTTTTGGTATGTTATCTATCTTTAGCTCATTAATTAATTTCGACCTCTGCATATAATATATGATCCACATGATCTATGTTTTTGACTGAATCTACAATTAAATTCATTTCCTTTCTCTTCTCTTTATTTTTTTTTTTTCATAATTTATGAATTTAAGATTCCTTAACATTAATGGGTTAATTGCATTTCGTAGTCGTAGTGCCAGGATTACCGCATTTATAAAAGAAGAGGGACCGGACTGTATCTGCACATTCCCTGATATTGGCTGTACAAGCTTTGCCCGAATCTGACCCATGATATGAAAATAGGTATTAATTGACTCATTGTGTTGTTGCTTTCGTTGTGCTAGTTCGGTTATGATTCCAAAGTTCGATTTTGAGGATTGATATTGGCTCAATAGACTATATTTCAATCCTTCACAGTCATGAAATCGATTGGTCTTTTGGAAAAGCCAATACCAAGATTCCGCTCTACCAGTGAGTAGCAATGGGAAATCTCGGATTATCTCAGACCATGGTATGTTATAGTGCAATTGAAAATACTCCAATCAATACACAAATTCTTCAACACCCAATCCCGAGGAACTATCATCAAATTGCAATCCTAATTTTTTTTATCCCAAATCCGTACCTAGGGTCAAATGTTCCTACTGGAGACATGTTGCCTACAGGGCCTTTAGCGACATGCGTCCCATTATGACAAGGCATATTTGCCATTGGCTGGGTTGTCCTTGGCTCAGTCAGATTTGGGTTTGTTTTATTTATATGAAACACGGTGGGGTTACTCTGATTCGGAATTGGAAGCATCCTTGAGATAGAGGAAGTCATCGGTGGAAGGATATTCATAGCCCTAGCAGAACCTGGCTGTCGATTTCCCGAGAGTTCAGTGTTGATTCAGACTCATTTGTTTTCCCGGTGTTTAATTCTATTAAAGATTTCTTTATTTAACTCATTTCCTTCTGAAGATTTTGTATTTCGTTTTCTATTAGACGATGTCCTAAGACATTATCCCGGAATGAGAATCCTGATGCATCCTGAATTTGACGCGACTATCCCGATCCACCTTGAAGGAAAACGGGCCCTATGGAATTAGACACCGGTGAACTCACATTTATGGTCTGGGAAAGGTCCCGAATTATCCTATCTCCACTGGGATTAGCTTCGGCCATGTCGGGGTCAGTACTGTTGTCCTTTTTCTTCTTATTTTCGATTATGATCGACCGATTCGAATCAAAAGTTGTAGGCCGATTCTTTGCTCTTGCACGAGTTTCACAGCTCATACCACTCAAACACCATCAAATTTCCTCTTTAGACTATTTAACAAGTTTTCACACAAAGTATTACTATAAAGTTTAGGAAATTGATTGTAAATTCAGTTATTTATTTTCTATTTAATTTTTTTCAGGAGGATTAAAAGTCGAGGCGGTTTTAAAGCCCTCAAAATGGTTTTCAATGATGTTGATGCTAACAATTGATACGTAGATACTACTACAACCTTTTTTGTGACTGGATATGCTCTACCAACGGCAGTATCCCTCAATCCCACTGTAATAGATACATCAACCTTAGATACGTTATGCTTATATCTGTATATGTATGTAGAATTGAATCACTACAACAAGTACTAAGCTGATACTATATTTTTTAAATCATCATACGTTTTGCTACTACCTCGTGTAAACCTATAACACTGTAGGACAAATAATATGATGGGTTGTACTCGTCATGACCTTCCTTAACCTAATGCATCGTTGGAAAAAAATTGAATAAAAATAAATACAAAATAATAAAAAGTTGTTTTGAAATTAGTTTCTGTTAAGATTTTTTTAACGCAAACGTACTTCCTGTATGGAATGACTGAATCGAACGGTCTTAAGACCACCAGACAATATATCATTACTTTGAGTTCATCCACTGATAATAGTTGTAGAACTTCAATTGCAAAGCAAACAAACACAGAATTTAGACAAGATGAAAAAATATGTTTTAAATAACACTTCCCACTCTAATGTCGTCGTAAAAAGAGCTCTTTTCTGGAAGGCTGTTAAGGGCGAATCAATTAAAATTAGTTTTGAAATTGCTGTGGAGAATATTATGCAATCATAAAAAGTCAATAAATATATATTTATAACTAAAAGAACAAATACAATGTTGTTAAATATAAATATTAATAACTATTTATCAAAATCAAGCAAAATTAATAAATAATAAAATCATGTAAAATTAATATATAGTAATGTCATGCAAAATTAATATAATATAAACCGTGAAAATCAGTTTCAATTTGATGTGGTCTCAGGTGATGTTTTGGAATAGACTTATGTTGTTTCTCATTCCGTTATCAACATTCCAAAGCAATCACAGCGTTATTGTAAGGATCTTGGTATAATTCTTGGGCTCTAGAATTTATATATATTTTCGTCGTTTTTATAATATTTTGACGAGCGCAAATGTGGCAAATTCGCCTGTTTTAATTGACTTTTTGTCTCGGTCAAGTTAATATGTTGGTGTTGAAGTTGGAATGAGTGGAGACTAGAGAGATAACAGGTACTGACCCATAGATGGCGGTCGGTCAGTTTTTTTTTATCTCAAATAAATGTTGGGAAAATTTATTTCCTACCTTTTTTAAAAATAGCGACAAGCATGGGATAAATGTGGTTGATGTCCTTCCTCCTAGATGCCGCTGTTGTCCTCCGTTTTGGTCTCAGCTTAAGGCCTTTCCACGCATTTTTTTGTTTACAGGGCCGGACATGGCCTTGCAACATGTTTTGATTAAAAAGAAAAATAATTTGAAATTATTTCAAATTTAGGGACAATAAAAAATGCATATTTTTAATGCTAGCACGTAACAAATTGTATTAATGTGGAATAAAACAATCTTGTCCTACTATCTTGGATTCAATTTTGTTGAGAAATCCCAATATTCCCTTAAAGTTTTGTGGTTTTCCGCAATATAATATTTTTGTGAAAAAATTATTGATTAACAAAACCAATTGTTCATGTTTAAAAAGTATATTTGTCATAATAAGTCTATATTACAGAGATACATTTTTCCAGTTTTCTTGAAGTTGTGCAACCTTTCTTATTGAGCCATGGGCAACACATTGTAAAATTTTGGCATAAACTGTATTGCTCTATTAGATTCAATCTTGGAATAACCCCAAAATTCCATTCTTGTTTCGCGGATTTTCCCCAATATAAGAATTTTGTTAAAAAAATAAACATTAACAAAATCAACTGTTGCATATATAAAAGTCTATTTGACACTAAAGGATTCCAGCACAGAGTTGAACTTTCTTAGATTCTTCGAAGTTGACCAACATTTCTTAAGGTACGGTCACACTGGGCAAATATTTGATCGAAATTTTTTTCCCATATTTGACTGAACTAATGTGAAATTCATACAGAGTTGATTCGATGTTCACATTACAGTCAAATATTTGACAGATTTTGTTTGTTCAAGCAGTCACCAAACAGCGTCAAACAGTGCTATGGGAAAACATGTTTGACACATGTTCACATTCGTAAAATATATTTTCCCATTAAATTGTTCGATCAAACTGTGAGGAAACATAAGTTTATTTGGCCGAGAAAAATAGACAGGGAGAGTGAATGAGAGACATAAAGAAAATATAGTTTCGGGTATAATTTATTTGGAGAAGGGAAGCAAAAGACCAGCTGTTGTGAAATAAATTCCTTGTCAGAACAATTTTTTTTGCATTTTTGTTTGTATCATGGTAGAAGAATACAGGTAGTCACATCGACATAGCTGCTGGGACAATGAACTGTCAAAACAATTTTGGAATTGAAAATAATGAATAAAATATTATTTAAATTTGTAAAAATTGTTGAAAAATATATATCATTGCAACCTCCGATTTTTCGCCGTATAGGAAAATAAATCTACTTATTTTTATAAAAACATTTCAAAATTTTTGACATATCATTGTTTCAAGCGTTGATGCATCTACCTATATCCTGTTCGAGAACCTGCAAGAATCTACTAGTTTCGCAATTTTCTTCGATATAATAAAGGGAAAATCGGTTATCGTAGTAAAAACACTTACATTCTCGCAGTTCTGGAACAGACCAAATATAAACATTTTTACTAAACATTCAAATTCAGTTAATTCAAAAATATCAAATAAACAAAGCCACTTATTGTATTCCTTTGTTTTTCTATTCATTAAACATCATGCTACAAATGCTCCTGTTCTTAAAGCAAAATGTTGCCCAAAGTTTTAAACTGATATTTTCCCTTGTTTATCCTTACAAAACATTTGCACCGTCAAATAAATGTTTGACCAAAAAATAGGAAAATAATTGATCATATATGTTCACATTATGGACACATTGGTCAAATGTTTGTTTTCCAGCAAATAATTTTGTTTTCCCAAAATCAGCTGTTTTTGTATTTACCGTCAAATAATATTTGGTGGTCAGATTGTGACAAAGAAATATTTCACATTTTTCGTCAAATATTTGCCCAATGTGACCTTACCTTTAGTGTAGAAATACATAAAGCGCATATTTGACCGGCTGAAGTCATCGGCTGGCTTCTTTGTAGATGAACAAAGGAGTTTTAGGTTGACTTAGTTCGACGGCGGTTGTCGCCGTCTAAATATTTAAAATAGTGCGCTTTTCATTCTCCTATCTTTGGAGCATGGTAGAAGAATACAGGTAGATGCATCAACGCTTGGAAACATTGATATGTGAAATAATCATAAATGTTTTTTCAAATATAACTAGATTTTTGTATGTTTTCTTATACGACGCCATTCGGAATTTATTATAATTTGCGTTTTTCAACAATTTTGACAAATTTAAATAATTTTTCATTCAACATATTCAATTCCAAACTTGGTTTGTCAGTTCACTGTAGCAGCAGCTGTGTCGATGCGTCTACCTATATTCTTCTACCATGCTTTGGAGTTAGCACACACGATTGTACAATGAATGGTACTTTTAGACTATAGATGATTAACTCACAGGGTTTAATATATTCGGCGGGTTAACCAATGGTAGAAAAATACAGGTAGATGCAGCAACGCTTGGTATTTCAAAAAATTTAAAATGTTATGTCAAAAATAAGTAGATTTTTTATATGTATTCTTATACGATGCAAATCAGAGTTTGTTATGATATGTATTTTTCAACAATTTTTACAAATTTCAATAATTCTGTTGTTGCAAAATGGCCAGGCTTAATCCTTTTATTGTTTTTTATTTTTTTTATAAAAATGTTTACCAGGTGGTAAAGCAGGGAATACCCACGTTTCGGAAAGAGCCACCAATTCTTATCCGTTGTTTTTTTTTTCTGAAATATTGTCCCCAGAAGTTATTTTAAATATAGCTTCTATGGCAAAAAAAAAAAACTTTTTTACCCAAATGCCGAGTAAGCTCAATAGAAGAAGAACCAAATAATTTTTAATTTAACATTTTTAATTCCAAAATTGGTTTGACAATTTATTGTCCCAGCAGCTGTGATGTGACCACCTGTATTTTTCTACACACGGTTTACCCATGGTAGAAAAATACAGGTAGTAGGACATAGCTAAATAGACATAGAATTTTATGCTGATTAAGAATATATCTACTTTGTGGATTCTAAAATGTATATTTCGAAGTGACAAACTTAATATACCCTCCATACTATTGTGGAGGGTATAAAAGGATAAGGAACTTACTTTTCTAAAATTGTGACGGTTCGGCAATTTGCCTTGACCTGATCCACACCTGCATTTGTTTCAGAAATACGACAAATTTACTGTGAGTACCTATGTTTTAGTCAGTTTTGAATGTCTTACTATTTTTCTTATATTTTAGATTACGAATTCTGTCATCTGTTTACAAATGTAATGGTTGGTCAGCCTCGCTGCATTCTAGGTCTTACAACACTGTCCGCTGTCATTGATAAAATTCTCACATCCGATACTCAACTTACCCCCATAGATGCTGACCTTTGTCAACTAAGTGTTAAATCGAAGTGTTTTTTAGAAAATGTATTAAACATTTTTCAATTAAATCTTACATTTAGTTCCAATCACAATAGTTTTTTTTTTTTTGACGTTTTTATATGGAGGCTTCCAGTGACCACCAGTGGAATATCAGAAAATTGGAAAATTTGTTCTGCCAAAAACTGACTTGGAGAACATTTTATATTCCAAAATACTCGTAAGGGCTCCCACTTTTTTTGGCATTCACAGTTTTTTGGACGTTTTTATATGAAAGCTTCCAGAGCCAGATTCCCGTCCTGACCTCCAGTGCAATATGAGAAAATTCGAAATTTTTTTCCACCAAAAAATGACTTGGAGAACATTTTATATGCCAAAATACTCGTAAGGGCTTCGACTTTCATTTGGCATTCACAGTTTTTTGGACGTTTGTATATGGAGGCTTCCAGAGCCAGATTCCCGTCCTGACCACCAGCGGAATAAGAGAAAATTGGAAAATTTGTTCTACCAAAAACTGACTTGGAGAACATTTTATATGCCAAAATACTCGTAAGGGCTTCGACTTTCATTTGGAATTCACAGTTTTTTGGACGTTTTTATATGGAGGCTTCCAGAGGCACATTTCCGTCCTGATCACCACTGGAATATGAGCAAATTGGAAAATTTGTTCTACCAAAAACTGACTTGGAGAACATTTTATATGCCAAATTACTCGTAAGGGCTTCGAATTTCATTTGGCATTCACAGGTTTTTGGACGTTTTTATATGGAGGCATTCACAGTTTTTTGGACGTTTTTATATGGAGGCTTCCAGAGGCACATTTCCGTCCTGACCACCAGT